ACAGAATAACATTCCTTAATTTCTGTAATAGCTTCCTTTATAAACAGCTTATTAATATATACTACCTTCAGGGTACAAACTTATTTGTAGACACCTAAAAATGACATTATCACTTTAAAAAATCAGTATCTGATTAAGCAGCACAAAGTCACCACAAGATAATTTTGAAAATATCACACCAATTTATACCAAAGTCCTTTGTATAAATTATAGTTCATTCAAAGTGCAAGTGGGTACTAGCCAAGCATGTACATGAAAAGGGCTTGAAAAATTTTAGAATGTCTTACCAGTCAGTGAAAAATTTCACCAGTCAGAATGACTGGACTATAGCCTTGCAATTTATGTTAACAAATTTAAACTAGGTACTTGTTCACTTCTATTTCTATGTAACAATGCATACACACTCAAAATAAACTATATTACGTACGGTATTCGCCTATGACTTCTTAGTAAAAAATGCACTGCTGTCAGAGGTGTTGCACTTGTGTCCTTGAACATGCCTGGTAGTTTTAGAACTGAAGTATCATTAATCAATTGCTTTAGTAGGGTTAAACTGTGGTAGTGGAGGTCCATTTAGATTCGCCATCATAAGGTCATCTAAGCTTTCAGTCTCTAAACACAATCTGAATTTATTTTTGATCAGATTTATCTCGCTGAAACCCCTTTTACAACTAACTGTAGAAACTGGTAGAACGGGGTTGCTTTATTACCTGCATGCCTGTGGGGTCATGAAGCTTGTATTTTGAATGCCTTTCTTTTGAATGTCTCCAACAAAAATAAAACTGAAAGCAAAAGCACCTGGCCTCTTAAGGAGCTACAGTTCCCTCCCACCCCAAATAACAGCTGTCAAACCTACAGTTCAAGGCATTCCAATGGGGGGGGGGGAATTCACCAAAACTTAACGAAGAGTCAGAACGAAGCCAAATTAAGTTTGCAAAGGTTTTACAAGGTGCACTAACGATCCCAGGCATTTAAAACAGTTTTTGAACATTTTAAGACACACTTAAAATAGTGAAAACGGACCTGTCAAAACGATTGAAATGCACTGAATAGGCTTCAATGCATTCCAATGGGGGAAACATTGTTTCGCGTAACGATGTTTCCTATGGCGATTTTTGCTTAAGGACGGTTTTCAATGCATTCCTATGGGAAATGGTGTTTTGCTTAGCGATGTTTTCCCATAGCGATGTTTTTTTGGGAACCAATTAACATCGTTAAGCGAGGCACCACTGTATCCCAATGTACCACTCGAGCTCTCTTCTCACAAGAAGAGGGCAGTTTTCCTTTTGCAATGGGAGGGGAGGATTGCACGATTAGAGAGAAACAGACAGGTGGAGGGGAAGGAGGCAGGGAGGGAGGAAGCTGTGGCTCATCCAGCAGCATTTTTCACTCATCACAGATGAGTGGACGAGTGCATTTTTCAAGTCCAGTGCATGAATTTCTCATGTTAGGAAAAAAGATTTGATATGGAAGAAAACATTACAGCACCACTTATTTCAAAAAAATAGACACATTTCTTCAATAAAATTCGACATATACGTAAGTGCAATTTGATATGCACCAGTTTTAACATTCATTTTTAAATCACATTGGACAAATTCACACTAAAAATGCACAAACCACTATTGTCTTACTACAGTGGTGCCCCGTTTTGACGATTACCTCGCTCCACGATGAATACGCTTTATGATGAGGTTTTTGCGATCGCTATTGTGATCCCAAAATGATGTTTAAATGGGAAAAATTCGCTTTACGACGATCGGTTCCCTGCTTCGGGAACCAATTATTCGCTAAACAACAATTTTAAAACAGCTAATCGGCGGCTCTCAAAATGGCCACCTGTTGTGGCTCCCCGCTGTGTTTAGGACGGATTCCTCGCTTAACAGGCACCAGAAAATGGCCACCCTATGGAGGGTCTTCGCTGCACAATGAGGTATTTCACCCATTGGAATGCATTGAACCGGTTTTCAATGCATTTCAATGGTTTTTTTTTTTTACTTTCGCTTGATGATTTTGTTCTACAGCGATTTTGCTGGAACGGATTATCGTCGTCAAGCGAGGCACCACTGTATTTCATTTCTGTTTTCAAAAGGGTGATATTCTTAATGAAGTTTGCATAACAACAGCAAAGAGTACTTGACAGTCTACAGAAGAGAGGCTTTTCTGTCTCCTCTCCAATCTCATGGTTCATTTTAACTTTATTAGAAGGAAACCTAAGGTGTTCACTTTCTCATGAAAAATACACTTCCACTGCATTACACTGTCTTGGAGATACCTATAGGCTGTGAGTAGAACAACACCTAAAGGCCTAAGAATATGAAATATTTAAGCATGGTAGGTTCTGCCATTTCCTTAAAAAAATGCTAAATTGTAAAAAATGGGAATCTCATGCTTTATTTGGGGTCTTGACCTCATATTTTTTGCCAGATGCTTCCTCCCATCTTATAGGGTACCACGAAGCACCTCCATGATCTTGCCAAATAAGAAGGATCAAGTTGTAGGTTATTAAGTGGGCAGATACAGTGGGGTCTTGACTTAAGAACGGCTCGAGTTAAGAACATTTTGACTTAAGAACCACTCTCATAGGAAAATATTGACTTGACTTATATACTTAGATTTGAGTTAAGAACTGAAAAACAACCACGTGGGAGGCAGGGAAAGTGCAAAATTTGAACTTTCAGTTAACTGTTGGCCAGTGAAAAGGGTGCCTGTCAGCTTCCTCACTCCTCCCAGTGTTTAGAGAGTGGATTGGGAGTCTTCAGACTGCCTGGTACTGCCTGGACTGTATTTTCCCTGCCTTCCCTGAACCTTTCTTGACCTAAGAAAAAAAGAAACAAAATATCCCCCTCTAGTGGTCGAAGGCAGAATAACAGCTTCCCATTAGTTTCTATGGACGGAAAAGAGCAGATACGGATCAAATGGTTTTCAATGCATTCCTATGGGAAATGCAGATTTGACCTGAGAACTTTTTGACTTGAGAACTGCCTTCCAATACGGATTAAGTTCTCAAGTCAAGACCCCACTGTAACTACATGACCACTGTTATTGTCTTCCCGCAAGATATAGGAAATTTTACAACCCTCTGAATTTGTCATACAGTATACATGCAAGGTAAAATTCCTATTACAGTGGTGCCTCGACTTACAAACGCTCCTACTTACGACCATTTCGACTTATGACCAGCTCTGGCCGCAAAATTTTGCTTCTATTTGCGACCAGAACTTCCACTTACAAAACAAAAAGGCGGGGGAAAGGGGCGAGAAATTCAAATAGGTAACTGTAGGTGGCAACGAGGATGCTTCTTTGTAGTTGTTTTGTTACGAGTGTGTGCAATCCAAGGAGGCTGTCTGTTAAGGTAAGGTGCTGCTTTATGCTTTTTAACAACTAGTCTTGGCATTTTTGCAGCATGGTTTTTGGCTGGGAGATTATGTTTCTGTGCTGTGATGGGTATTGGGGGCGCTGTTTGATTTTTGGTTTCCCCCATTTCCGATTGGGGTTTGGTTGCTTTTTGGGGGGGGTTTCCTCCATTTTTGATGTGTCTTGCATGCTTCCCCGGCTTTTTGTGTTTTTCTCTTTGCATTTCTGATCTGCTGGTTCTTTTCTGTCCATTTGCAATGGTTCCTGCATGCTTCCCTTGCTTTTTCCTTTGATTTTTGTGCATTTCCAACCTTGTCCCTTTGTTCTCTGTGCATTTCTGATCTGCTCCATTTGTTTTCTGTACAGGGTTTTTGCAGCTTGGGGTTGGGCTAGGTCTGTGTGTGAGTTATGTTTCTGTGCTCTGATGGGTCTTGCAGACCCTTTCTGCAAGGGCCTGTGCTGGCTGGTTTACTCTAAAATGGAGTTTAGTCTTTTGGTTTTAAAATCAGAAAAGTTTTTGCAAGGGTCTGTGCTGGTTGGTTTGCTCTAAAATTGAGTTTAGCCTCAAGTCTCTCTTCTCCCCCCCAATTGTCTTCTCTCTCTCTCTCTCTCTCTCTCTCTCTCTCTCTCTCTCTCTCCTCCCCCCCTACCGTCGAGGNTATCCTGAAGGGATCTGCTTGCTGGAATAATGGTTGATGGATTCTGTGGCTTCTAGGGTTTGTGTACTGTGTTGTGACTTTTCTTTTGTTTTAAAAGGTGTTGGTGGGTGGGTTTAAAATGTGTTTGGTTTTAAAATGTGTTTTGTTTAAAAGGTGCTTGGTTTGTTTTAAAATGTGTTGGTGTAAAATGTTTAGGTTTAAAATGTGTGGGTTTAAAATGTGTTTTAGACTCCTAACTCTCTCCCCTCATTGTCTTCTCTCTATCCTCTTTTCGTACTTAAAAGTACAAACCTTTGTCTGAGGGGTCTGTGTGCCCCAGTGATGACCTTCTTTCTTTCCTCTTTTCCCCATTGTTCCCTCCTTCCCTCCTTTCCTGCCCTTTTCTTAACCTAAGTCATCTAAGTACAACATAGATTGTTGTACATGAAAAAAATAAAACATATCCTGAAAATAAGCCCTACTGCTTTTTGGAGCAAAAATTAATATAAGACCCAGCCTCATTTTCAGGGAAACACGGTACACTTCATTACTAGCCATCAACTCCTCCCTCCTTCTATATCAACAAGTGATACATCACATTCCGCACTAAAATACACAGTTAGATCAACAGTAAAATTTAAAAAAATAAAACAAGCCTGTGTTATTAGATCTATAGAGGGAATGATACTATTAGTGCAATTACATCAATTTTGTGTGCAACTCTTATTGTTTAGTTTTTCTACAATGCAATTATAGTTAACAAAGGTTGCTTAACAACATTTGAAGTCTATTTTCTGACTGACAAAGGATATAAAAACACAATACTCAGTATACATTGTTAGCAAACAGAAAACACTGTTCATATATCAAAGGTGAATGCCAAAAACTAAAAATTATTCATAGATAATAAACATAGAAGAACAAACTCATAAGAAAAGAATCAGTAGTGTGCTTTTTAATGGAATGAATAAATTACCAAGCACTTTGAAGTATAGTCTCTTTTACCTGCATGTAGCATTGGGATTAGCATTTCTTGAGAGAAGCAGTTCTACACACTTTAAAATCTGTTCTTCTGAAGCACAAGCAGTACACGCAGCCATTAACACTGTATATTGATCTAAATAAAAATTATAGGAACAAGCTAATACAAAAATCAACTTTGAAGAATAAGACACTGATGACCAAACTTAGTAAACAAATCACAAATAACATTACTTATTACATATATAACACAATTGTAGAAATTGTAAAATTAACTTTAAAATAAATATCCCAGAAATACAAGAAAATTTAAAACTGTTCAATAGTCTTACTTTGATTACATGAATGTTAATAATTACTTTAATTATGTTAATAAGTTACAACTACAGCTCTGTTAAAATAATTACAGTTAAATACTACACAAACCCTGTTACAACACCTGCTGAATTCAACATGACTTGTTCTCAGATTAGTAGGTATAGACCTGTTGTCTTAATTTATTTGTGTGTTGTTAAGCATCTTTCCTGAGCACTGCATTACACAGACTTCTTTTCTTACCAAGATCCTCGACATTTTAGTGCTAGAGAGGGGTTGAAATACTGTTGCTTTTACTTACACCGAGTAAGACGGAAAATGTCATAAGCCACAGTAATTTTTCAGAAATAAATTTTTAAAAGTCCAATTCCCACCTACTCCCTCAAGGTCGCAATACTCCTGTTTATCCCTGTTGTTTTGGGAAAACTTCTTGGGACTGTGGAACAATTTACAAAAACAGCCACGGATTATCCTGGTTATGCTGGAGGTCTGATTCTAGACCTTAAGTTCTAAATGTTCTAAAGCTGACAATACATGTTGCTCACAGGCATTAAAGAGCCAAAAAAAACCCTTTGGCCCTGTGAATAGACATTTCATTTTTTTTTATCGTCAAGAAAAATGAAAGAACTGAACCACTCTACTTCTTCACACAAAGAGAAACTTCCACTCAAAACCTATTTTTTGAAATGACACACAGTTAAAAATAACCTGCAATGAACCCCCATTTCTCCCTCTGTCCTCCCCAAAGATTCTCTGAGGAACCAGAACTTTGGTTCCAATGGATAAAGCAAGACATATTCCAAGGTGCTTTTACAGCAGTTAACTGGAAAGCATTAATTCTGTTTTAATGTGCATTTTGCCTCTCTATCTGGGTAGGAAATACTTTCTTATCTACAAAAGAGGGCAATATCTCATTTAGAACAGAGGGCAGTGACAATTTCGCTGTGTTAACCACAGGAAATAAAGATGATTCCTAGTTGAAAGGCAGAGCTCCAGATCTCTGGAAAAGTCTTGGATTCTTCAACCTTCTTTGTTATTTTAAATATTCATACATTACTCAGAACCAAAAACTAGATTCTGATGCATACAGGTGAAGGAATGGCACAGGAGATTTCCCGTGGAAAGTGCAAGTTATTAAGCTGGTGAGTTGGCAAAAATGACCTGAGACGGTTGGCAAAATGCAAAGTCATCTGAAAAGTCTTTATTTAATCTGACACCTAACAAACTGAGTGATGGAGACACCTTATAACAGAAGGATGCAAGAAAACAAAGAAAAAATGCATTAGGAAAGGACATCACATAATTCAAAAAAGAGAGAAAAGAACTAAGCATTTAACAGCCCTTCCACCTTCCAATTCTCCATTCTTTGCAGCACATTCTAAAACAAATGAACAAATCCAACACCTACAGACATGGAAAGGAGTCTTTCAATTAGAAGTCCTGCAGCAATAACATTCCCCTCAAAATCAAGAACAAAAGGACTCCCACCTGACCCCAAACAGTGCACTTTTGTCACATTTAAACCAAACAGGCTTAAATATATTAAAATAAATTTGTTCTTCTGGTATGTGTTTCCCTTTTAATGGATTATTTACTGACTTCTAAGGTAAGGCTTATATCAGAAATAAACACCTGCGGCAAGAGTTCAGCTATTGTATCTTACCCTTATCAAAACTTGCATTTGCGCCTCTGTCTAGAAGAATATGCATGAGTTCCACATTTCCAACATTTGCAGCATACATCAGGGGAGTCCATCCAAACTTAAAATTAGTTTCTACGTTTACACCTGTAATATTTTTATATGAAAGATTGCATGTATTTAATCAAATAAGGATCCATATATTGCAGTGTGTCATTTCAGAACCCTGGACAGTATACAGCTTCCCAAGAAATATCAGCAGTGACAACAGAAACAAACAGCTTTTGAGTGAGGCAGAGGACTATGAAGATCAGGCTCCCATGACCTTTCTTCTGCTCCCACAGCAAAAATTTTTTTTACAAAGGACTCTACAAATCACTGTCTGCCTCAACACTTCTAACAGTGGCAGCAGAACACATTGTGAAACTTTGAAAATATCTGCAGCAAAAGACAATGTTACAACTTCAAGAAGCCATAATAGCTCTGTTTGATGCTACTGTCAAACCCCTGGTCTTCCAGATAGAGCACTGTAATGTCTTGGATATAAAATTCCAGATATGACAGTGGCAGATATCACTGCAAATGTATCTACTATGATATAGTTAGAGCCAGCATGGTACAGTACAAAAAGCTTCGGACTCAGACTCGGGAGATCAGTATTCAAATATCCATTAGACCACCTGAGATGCTATGTAGTTCTGGAACTACAGTAAAATTTGATATAAAACAAATTGATTAAAATCGCTATTTGAAAAGACTTTTTCACAATACTTATTTCTCACAATCTACCTGTTCAGATGCACTCCGCCTTCAACAATCCTCTACTCACTGATATTTCTTGTATTTAGTGCACTCACATGGAGCAGTAGGGAATTACATGTCTGTGCATTAAGCAGCAGGGCAGCAATAGCTAGGGCTGCCATTCTGAAGAAATCCAATTCACTTGGAGAATTTACTGAACATGATCTTGGATTTTCTAGAATTTCCAATATTTTATGTTGAGAATCAAAAAAGGACTGCAGATTTTTCTAACTGTATCTACCAGACTGAATAACAGGGAAGACAGAAAAAATTAACCCCAAAAATCTGTTAAAAAGTCTACAGGACGGAACAAAATTGTGATTCCCAAAGAATCAACTTTGAATTCTATTTAGAAAACATTTTTAAAGCTTGTAAGCTTAAATTGCTTTATAATACAGTAATTTACAATCTCAGTTCCATAACAGACATTTTGAATTAAAGTTACCATCATTTAAAACTTTTAAAACAAAAAGCATTTTAACAGTAAAACATTTAAAAATCTGATTAAAGCAAAAAGAGAGAGGGGTTACTTACCTGTAACCTAAGTTCTTCAAGTGGACCTCTGCGAATTCACACAAATGGGTGATGTCAGCACCTGCGCTGGACTCCTCGGAATATTCTAGAGCTTTAAAAGTAACAAAAGTTGAACATTTTATGTTGCCCCTATTGTGCATGCTCCGCCCGCACCTCAGTTCCATTTTATCCGTCACCAAAAACACTCTGAACAGATAATTAAGAAAAGTGACTGACTCTGGGGAGGCTGGGCGGGATGTGTGAATTCACAGAGGTCCACTTGAAGAACCATGGTTACAGGTAAGTAACCCCTCTTTCTTCTTCGTGGCCTCTGTGAATGCACACAAATGGGTGACTAGCAAGCTCACTTGCCGGATGGAGGGACGTCACGGCAACAACAAAGTGAGAACAGCTCTCCCAAAAAGTGCTTCCCTTTTGGCCCTGAGGTCCAACTGATAATGTGACACAAATGTCAACCGAGTGGACCATGTGGCTGGCCAGCAAATGTCCTCAATATCCACACCACATAACAAGGCAGTGGATGTAGCCATGGCCCTTGTTGAGTGTCCTTTTATGTTGTTCAGAGGCGCTTTGCCAGCTAGTTCATTAGCCAAAACAACAGTGGACACGATCCATCATGAAATCGTCTGAGAAGAAGCAGGAGAACCCTTATGTGAGCCGTGGAAGCAAACATCTTGGGAGAAGCACAGAATTCTTTAGTCCTTGACATATAAAAAGACAATATGCAACGTACATCTAAACAATGGAGCATGCGCTAAACTTGAGATGTAGGGTTTGGAAATAATGTTGGTAAGATCAAAGGTTGGTTAACATGGAAGCTAGAAACACCCTTAGGGAGGAAGGATATATTGGGGTAGAGAATAACTTTGTCCTTGAAAAATTGCAAATAGGGTGGATCAACCCCTCAGAGCGTCCAGTTCGTTTACTCTTCTAGCTCAGTGGCTCTTAACCTTGGGTTACTCAGGTGTTTTTGAACTGCAACTCCCAGAAACCCCAGCTAGCACAGTTGGTGGTGAAGGCTTCTGGGAGTTGCAATCCAAAAACACTTGAGTAACCCAAGGTTAAGAACCACTGTTCTAGCTGAAGTGATTGCCACCAAAAACAATGTTTTGAAAGATAATAAGTGAAGTTCATAAGAAGCCATGGGTTCAAAGGGTGGATGAGTAAGGGTATGTAAAACTCTCTGCAACGACCACTGTGTTAATGGAGGTCTTGTAGGAGGGCATAGATTGTGAAGACCTTTTAAGAACAATTTCAACGTAGGGTGGGAGAACAAGCGTGACGAATCCGAGCCAATGGGTTGATAGGAAACGACTGCTGAAATATAAACTTTCAATGTAGAGAAAGATAAGCCTTGATCAAACAAATAACGTAGGTACATGAGAAGAGTATCCAAGGATACTGGTAGGGGCTGTAAGTTCCTGGAATGAGCAAAATGTACAAAATTTTTCCATTTGTAAGAATACGGAAGCCTGGTAGATGGTTTCCTGGCCTTGTCTAGGACTTCCCTATCATGGAAGGATTCTCCACACAGTCAGATGTAGGGAGTCCAAATCCGGGTGACAAATTTGTCCTGTATTCTGCATGGAGATATGCGGTAACAGAGGTAGTTTGAAGAATTGGGCCGCCATCAACTTGAGTGTTGTAAACCATGGTTGTCGAGGCCACCACAGTGCTATCAAGATGACATTGGCCCTTGCATGAATTTTTATCAATGTCCTTTGGAACAGAGGAATCGGGGGGGGGGATAGAGGAGTTCTTGTGTCCACTGTACCATAAACACATCCCCTAAAGATGCTTTCCCCCTGCCTATTCTGGAGCAGAACCTTTAAATGTTGTGTTGTGTGGGTTGGCAAACATGTCTATCATCAGGCGTCCCCACATTTCGCAGATCATCTGAAATGTGTAAGAGTTCAGTTCCCATTTGTGCATCTGGATGTAAGATGACTTATAGCATCCGCTACCTCGTTGTCCTCCATTGATTCATGTATGGCCATGGGAAAAATGTGACGCTCGTAGCACCATTCCCATGGATGGACCGCCAGATAAAGGTGGAACATCGAGCGAGTGCCCCCGTTTGTTGATGTAGTACATAGTCATGGTGTTGTCCATGACAATCTGAACTGGACAACCTCAAATTAGGGGACAGAACACTCGAAAGGCCTTGATGACCACCCACATTTCTAGGTGATTTATGTGTAGGTGTTTCTCCCGATTGGACCATAAAGCTTGTATCTTGTGAGAGCTGCAATGCGCTCCCCATCCTGTAGGACTGCCATCTGTCGTCACCTGGACAGTAAACAGCAGCAGTCGAAATGGGCGTCCTACAAGAGGATGTGGCTTGAAAGTCCACCATTTTAGTTGTTTTGCCACTTCCACTGTGACAGTAAGGCGCTTTGAAGGCTTGTCTCTTAGAGGGTCGGATTTTGTCAATACCAGGCTTGGAGAGATCTCATCTTGAGTTTCGCATGTGGGAGAGCAGCTGTTGTCAATGCCATCAATCCTAGAAGATGCTGAGTGAGGTGAGCAGTGACTCTGGACGACGGGTGGAAGTGCCGAATTCCATGACGTATCTTTTGAATTCATTCTGGTGGAAGAAACATACGAGCATCAATGGGGTTTATGCGGGCGCCAATAAAATCTACTATCTGAGATGGTGAAAGATGTGATTTCGCCATGTTTACTTTCGAACCTAAATCTTTTAGAGTTCGGAGGGCAAATTCAGTGTCCTAAATGGCCTTGTGATGGGACTCGGAGACAATTAGCCAATCATTTATGTAAGGGCAAACTTTTATGTTGCTGAGACAAAGATATGCTGCTACAGGCGCCATGCATTTTGTAAATGTTTGTGGAGCAGTGGAGAGGCCGAATGGAAGGGTGCAAACCTGATAAGCAGAATTGTCAAAGAAGAAACGGAGGTATCTTTAATGACGTTGATGAATGGAAATGTGAAAGTAAGCGTCCTTTACATCTATAACAACAAACCAGTTTCCAGGTGGATGATGGATTCTAGGGTGGTCATATGGAATCGTCATGGATGCAGGTAAGTGTTTAACTTCCTTAAATCTAGGATAGGTCTGATCCCTCCGTCCTTCTTTGGAACCGAAAAGTAACAGGAATAAAACCCATTTGGAATGTCTTGATCTGGAACTTGTTGAATTGCTTGCTTTTCTAGTAAAGATGTTATTTCTAGTTCTAAAGCCAGATTGTATGAGGTGAATTTGACATGGCTGATAAGTGGTAATTCTACAAATTCTAGGAGATAACCGAATTGAATGATGTTTAGTACCCAGGTGTCGTTAGTGATAGACGACCAATTGTTTAAAAATGGAGCTAATCTTGGTTAATGAGTGAGAATGAGAGTACTTCTCGTGAGGGAGTCAAAGATAATGTTTTCCTTTCTTAGCAGGAGGACAGTAAGACTGCCTCCGTTGGTTAGGAGATTGAGATCGAAGAGGAGTGGAAGAGGAAGCTTGGGAAGATCTACCTTGGGCTTGCGATTTGAACAGCCAGTAAGACTGATTCGGTACAGGATGCTGATAGTTATATTGCTTGCGCCACTGGTATTTCTGGAATCTAGGTTGTTGCTGAATGGTGTATGATTTAGCTGTTTTCTTAATTTTGCGTAAATTCTCCATGGTTTCATCAGTCTTTTCATTAAATAATCCCACTGCGTCGAAAGGGAGTTCTTCAATTCGGGTTTTAGCATCTTCCATTATGCCTGATGAGCGCAACCAAGCATCTCCTTAGCGATATGGCAAATGTCATTGATTTAGAAGCTAAATCCGCTGGGTGTCTTGCTGTTAATCTTTGATGTTTTGCCACCGTGACCACTTTTGAGTGGGCATTGAGTAGTGTGGTTCTGGTATCTTCTGGGGCGCTCTGTAGAGCAGGAAGTACTCTTGTCCAAAGTTGTCACTGGTAAGCATCCATTGCAGCTTGATAATTGGATACTCTTAGTAAGATGGTAGCAAAAGAGTACAGTTTGAGTCCTAAGACATCTAATTTTCTCCCCTCTCGATTAGTAGGGGTAACTTTAGCTTTTCCTCCACATCTGGAGATGTTAGACTGAACAAAAATTGAGTTTGGTTCTGGATGTTTGAACAGAAAAATGGTGTCAGAGCCATGTGTTCTATAGTGGTTCTCTGTTCTTCGAGTGACTTGCATGGATTGCGGAGTTAAACACCATGATTCTTTAATGTGGTCCATCAATGCTGGGATACATGCAAGGCTGAGAGGTGGGGATCTTTCTTGACTGATGTCATTGAAGACCAAATCCTGCTTAGGTGTAGGAGGTTGTTCTATGTCCAGCTGCAAAGACTTAGCCATTCTTGACACCATTTGCGCATACGATGAAAAATCTTCAGAAGGAGAAGATGGGTGAAGGTCCATAGCATCTGATTCAGGAGTTCTACCTTCAATAGGAGAAGCATCTGAAAAGTTCTCCTGCTCTAAGTCAGATTCAAACATAATAAAAGACTCATCTTGAAGAGATGGTGAAGGTAGAACGCATTGTTTCTTGCTATTCTGCTTGCACACTGCAGACCTAGATGCTTGCTGTACAGTTGTCGAATTGGTTATTCTGCTTGCACACTGCAGACCTACTGTAGATGCTTGCTGTACAGTTGTCGAATTGGAGTGATCCTGCGAGACCACAGGAGCAGGTTGGTCATCCTTTGCTCAAGAATCCAACAGATGACGGGTATCTTTAACCTTGCCAAGGTGTTTCGATGATTTGGGTGGTGCATGGTACATTTCATAATATACTCAACGTCGATATCGAGGTGGAGATGGAGAGGAGGAGGAAGAAGACAAGGCATATATGTATCTAAGCCTCTTACGCGAGTGGTGTTCCTCTAGATCAGAATAGTTGACAATCTCCTGTTCGTCCTCTTGATGTTGACGACCCCATTTTCGATCGACCTTGACATATATGGGATCGTCGCGAGTAGATCTTGCTCGACGTCAAGATGAATGGGAAAGCAACACCACCTTTCGCCAAGCGGATTGATGTCGATCCGGAGAAATATGTTTCTTCTTTTACAGGGCGGAGATGCCTGGCCCGAGAATTCAGAGCTGGATAGGTGTACTATTGTGGCATGCCCAGTAGAAGCAGGGCTTGAATGGGCAGAGGCACGACTAGACTCGATGTCATTGTCTAGGCAGCCCGGGCTTGGTGATCGGCACGGTGTAGGGGCCAAAGTCTGAGACTGTCTGGGCAGAATTGATGGAGCTCTCTCCGAGAAAGACTCTCGATCTCGAGGAGAGTCTTCGAGGATAGGGGACGGGAGAGACGCTGAGACCAGTGGTATGTCTGGAGGTCTATCCGCCTTTGAGGGATGCTTGTACTTTTAATTCTTATCCGCCTTCTTATGCCCATTGATAGAGTGGTCTTTAGACGCCATCTCCGAATACTTTTTGGGGGCCTTTTTGGACGGTCTCGAGGGTGGTAAAACCTGAGGGTTCAGCGTCGTGGCTTCAGGACCGGGTATAGAAGCCGTTTCCATAGTGTCCGGATTAGAAGACAATAAAGTCTTGTCCCATAGAAACAATTTTAGTCTCTGCTGACAAGCCTTAAGAGCAGCTTTAGTAAAAAAATGTACACTCCTTTCATGACTGTGGTTTGTGTTCCTCTCCCAAACAAAAAAGACTGCGGTCGTACCCGTCGGAGAAAGGGAGTTTACGGGAGCAAGAAACGCACCTGCTAAAGGGGCCTGACTGGGACATAAGCAGTAATTGTTTAAAGAGACGAAAGAAGGGGAGAAAACTCACAACAGTCAGCGATGGTCAAATACGAAAATTTAAGTCCAATCAAGAACAAGACAAAATTGCCAGAGGAATAAGGAGTGGTCAAGACGCAGTCCAAAATCGGCAACGTCGAAGCAATGGAAATCCAAAATAAGCGGTGGGTAGTGAAAATTTAATGATCTGAATCCAATCAGGGGCAGCAGAGTAAAAGAGTTTCTAATAAACACAGTCCAAAGTCAAAAGCCAAGAGAATCAAACCAAATATATGAAAAAATGAAGAGCTCTAAACCAGTGGTTCTTAACCTTGGATAACCCAGGTATTCTTGGACTGCAAGTCCCAGAAGCCCCAACCAGCATAGCTGATGGTGAAGGTTTCTGCGAATTGCAGTCCAAGAACACCTGGGTTGCCCAAGGTTAAGAACCACTGCTCTAAACCGAGAAGTTCCTAACACCAAGGCGGTAAAATGGAACTGAGGCGCGGGCGGGCATGCACAATAGGGGCAACATACAACGTTCAACTTTTGTTACTTTTAAAGCTCTAGAATATTCCAAGGAGTCCAGCGCAGGCACTGACATCACCCATTTGTGTGCATTCACATAGGCCACAAAGAACCTTTAAAAAACCACTGATTTTTATTCACTTTGTACGGGACTCATTCAGCTGTTCAGAGTAGTAGTCTGTAGTTTGCTGCATCAAAATCAAGACTCATGACACCTTAAAAAATAACGTGTTGCATGTGTCACGGGTGCATGTATTATTAGAACCAGCAATCACATGTGTCTGGCCACTAACACAGAGGCTGTTTTACTCAATATCCGGAATTCTATCTGGTGGGCTACATGTGTAAAGCAACAGACTCTTTAAATGAATAACAAACTCTTACGATATTCAGAAGGAGAATTAAAAATGAACTGTTGTTGGTGAAAAAGAGGCAAAAAGTCCAGTACCGATTCACAAAACCTTGAACTTACATAAAAGAGATATTAAATTACTGTGTGTCTATATTTAAAATGCACATCCATCCTACAGTAAAGACTTGAACATCTTAACAACATTTTAAAAATTAAATACAGTGGTGCCCCGTATAGCGAGGTTAATCCGTTCCGGATTAACCTTCGCTATACGAAAACATCGCTGTGCGGGGCAGGAAAACCTATTGGAACGCATTAAACTAAGTTTAATGCGTTCCAATAGGTTTTCCTGCCCCGCACAGCGATGTTTTCGCTCCAGCGGCCATTTTGAAGCCGCCGAGCAGCTGATCGGCGGCTCCAAAATGGCCGCCGGATGACCCGAAATGGCCCCTATCAGCGTTTTCGCGCCCTCCCCTTGCTTAGGGAGGTCGCGAAAACGCTGCGGGGGGGCATTTCGGGCCATCCGCGGCCATTTTAAATGGCCGCCGGAGCCCCAATCGTTGCAAAGCGAGTGCGGCGATTGGGGCGGATCCGTATAGCGATCCCTTTTTGGGGATCGCTATACGGATTTTTCGTTAAACGGTGCACTCGTTAAGCGAGGAACCACTGTATGTGTATTGATAATTTAAAAATACAATCCACTTATCTTACCTGAATTTAAGAGTTCTTCAATGGCAGGCAAGTTTCCTGCAGTCAAAGCTTTTTTCAAAGCTTCCTCTTTCTCATCCATCTGCAATGCTTTATCTAAATACTAAGCCAACAAAAATAAATTACAAAAATTTACCAGATGCCTTGCAGATCCATTGTAAAAAATGTTTCATTTATTACTATAAAAGTTGGTGAACACTGAAAATCTAACATGTACCTGCTTTTATCCTACACTGCAAAAGCCAGCTACACTTTTTTTTCCTGCCACTATGCGTAACAAACACAGATAGCACATTTCTGATATACAGTACTGTATGTCCTGCACCTTTAACAGTAAGCGGGAAACATGCAGTGCTATCTCATGCAAGTTACTAGCCACTTACTCATAGACAGATAAACCACAAAATTCTGCTTCCAATATTTTCACTTCAGTTTGTTCCATCCCAACTATGCATCCACTAAATCCTGCTAGTGCAATCAGGAACAGTTTATTTAATATGTTAGTTGAACTGGAAATCTTGGCCTGCTGTTTTCATCACTGGCCAGAACTGCAAATCAAGATAGGCTGGGAGTTTATAATACACGGCTTGCTTTGAAGCAAGAAACCAACAGTAAGAAAAGTTCCTGCTTTGTTTAACAGTTTTTGCTAACAGTGAGTAGCAAAGTTGGAGGAAATTGTTTGTATACGCTACTATATTACAGTATGTACTGCCAAACTGCACTTAATGAACTGCAATACTAATAGGGGGTTTGAAGCATGAAATATATTTAAGGAGTGGTTTTACAAATGCCCACCCATACAATGAGTTTTCATGGCTGAGGAGGGATTAAAATCAAGGTCTTCTGAGTCTTAATTGATCACTACATCAACTAAACCAAAGTGGCTTTCACTATTTTGATAGTTCTTCAGAATCCTTACAATTGCATGCAAATATAGCAACTGAGTAGAAGTAAAATTATGCTTGTATTGTAATATCTAAGGAAACACTCAGTCTTTTTTTTAAATCTAAAAATGGGTAGGTCTTGTTTTGCTTCCAACTTTACTACCTATGAAAAAATTAAAACCATTATTTAATCATTCTTTAAGAAAATGCTTTATATTGGCAGTAAGGTGGAAAACTGTGGAAAAAATAGGCCCAAATGAATATGTTGCTTAAGTTCATTGGTGTATCTCACAGCAGCAAACAGGCACATGGTAAGTGGGAGCAACAAAAGAAACTACACATTATCTTGATATCAAAACTCAGTACTTTGGCTTGTCTTTCCCTTGACAAGCCACAGAATAAGCTTATAGTTGGTTTCAGGGTTAATTCTTGGCTTTCAGGAGACATACAAGGAGAATAAGCTATGGTCCTATCAGTTTTGGGCATCAGAGAAACAAACCACAGGCAGAAGTCCACTTGTAGTGAGAATGATCCAACTGCATGTACTGGTATGATGCTGACAAGTGATATATGATGTTCCAATCAGGCCACTTTCCTGTCTAAGCACCAGAAGCAGATGTTTCAGATGGATAGTTCCATTAAAGATCTAAACCTAAGCAGTTACTTGCGTGCAGGCAGCACTGAATACTGTTGGACTTACTTTTCAGTGAACTTGATTAAGACTGCACTGAAGGTGAGCTACTTACCCAGCAATGTATTATCACTGAAGCACGGTGCCATGAATACTTGACTGGAAACCTACTACCTTTTCAATCTATAAGGTCTATGAAAATGAATCTTTGTCTTTATTTAGAAAATGAAAACATATTATTGTCAAACTTTCATACACACTAGCCAAAGCATCACTACGGTAAATGCAATGGCATAAATCACAGCAGTGAATTGCCACCAATTAACAAGTTGAGATATGCATTCCTTATTGTATGCCATGTGGTAAAAATGAAAAAAAGGAAAATAAATGAAATGAAATAAAACTGCTGTATACCGGGCATTTGTTAACGAGTAGCTAGCTCACTCTCGCTCTCTGTTTCCTTAAAAATCATGGTGGAGCCAGACATAAAATGTGTGACTCAAATTATTCCTGATGAGTTTTAACTCCCATTGATTTCAGTGAGTCTACTCTAAGTGTAAATAACCCTGAGTCCATTCTATTGCTTTGTATATAAAAAACAGTAGATTGGACTCAGGCTTATTTACACTTAGAGCAGACTCATTCAAATCAATGGGAGTTAAAAACTCATCAGGAATAATTTGAGTCACACATTTTATATCTGGCTCCACCATGATGTTTTAAGGAAACATCTCATTCTGCACATAACTATCCATTTAGTATCTTTAAAAGAAGGCGGGATGAAAACATGCATGCTATGCCTCAAGAGCTCTATTTCACGAAAGCATCCAGAGGACTGCACTAGGTCTTGGAGACCTGGGTTTAAATTACACTCAAAAACCACTGCATCACCTGGAGTTAACGAAACACTTTATCAGCCTAACCTACCTCACAAGGCTGTTGCAAGGATAAAAGAAGAAGGGAGAAAAAATACAGCTTCCAAGAGCTCCTTAGAGAGCAGGAGGAACATACATACCAGACAAATGAAGGGGAAATATCTCCTATAGCTAGGGAGAAACAGTCAAACTATGCTTAAAATAACTGTTCCTTCCGAATTACCTAAAGACAAAGCCAGTTAACCCCCCCACACACACACCCGCACCTGCTCCTGAAACGGAGCCCCAGAGACAAAGCCGGTAACCCCTCACACCCGCACCTGCTCGTGAAACGGAGCCCCAGAGACAAAGCCGGTATTCCAGCAGTCGTCGTCGCTCTCGCTGGTCTCGTCCCCCGCGGGGACCGCCAGATAAGGAGTGTCGCCGGCCATCCTCCAGCTCTGAGGCGCTCAAAAAGCACAACGTCGCCCCGGCCGTTGATCCTCCTCGGGCGCCGCCGCCGCCGCTCGTCAAACCACCCACAACCCTTCCCTAACACTTCCACGCGGACCCCGGCTGCAAGGCGCAGGCGCAAAGCTGACGCGGCGCCTCAGGGACCTTTTTTTCGACGGCAGGGAACGATAGCGGGAAAATAGAACGGCACGAGAAATAGAGGCCTGTGGGGATGGTGCCTGACGTCACGTGGCCACCCGTTCCCCGGAGCAACGCCCCTCAGCGAAAAGGAGGGAATCTTGAGAACTTTACTGTTGCTAAGAGACTGGCTGGGTGCCTTAGTGGTTTAGGTTTTTGGCTGCTGAGTCGGAGATTCTGAGTTCCATTCCGCTCTCAGCCTCCTGGGAAAAGAACTACTGTACTGTAGTCTGTATGGGCTGAGAAAAGAATTAGTCTGTATGCATAGTCCCTGGGCGCCCGCAGAAGAAGGGACTGGTAAACCACTAAGGAGTCTGTATGGGCTGGGAAAAGAACTAGTCTGTATGCATAGTCCCTGGGCGCCCCCAGAAGAAGGGACTGGTAAACCACTAAGGAGTATTCTCTACTGAAAAGGGTCGCCGTCAGTCAGAATTGACTTGTGGCCATATAATTAAAAAGAAAATTGGTATTAGCTGATTTTTCGCCCATGTGAAGGGGCATATACTGTAATTAAAAAGAAAACTGGTATTAGCTGATTTTTCGCCCATGTGAATAATCAGGAATAGACAGGAATTTAAGAGTGCACTTCTATGCATGCTAAGGGAAAGTAAGCAACATTGGACATTAGGGGAAGGTCCAGTATTTTGTTTAGGAGATTTAAGCAGCACTGCTGAAGACAAGGACATCTTGGATGTCACTCATTCATAAGTAGGAAGGTACTTGACAGCACATAACAGAAGTTTTTAAGTCCCTGAAGTGATACAAAGAGTAAAATCCTTTTGCTTAGTGTAGTAAGTTGCACTTGAGTAGGACTATTGAATCAGTATGGATTTGGTGAATCGAGTTCCATTGATTCAAATCGGCCTACTTTAGCTGCAATTTAGTATGCATAGCAACAGGATTTGAACCAAAGTCTAATTTGGAAGTGCTGATTTCTAATGTAACAAGTGAAAAAAATGTACAGTAAGTGGCTCTTCATGAACCTAAAGTGTCACCATGGAATTAATAGAAATTAATAGAAGTGAAAATACATTTTTCAGGCTACCTGGAAAAACATTTACCATTCCATCTGATAATGGCTGAGCTTTCAAGAAATGGCTTCCTAGATGAATTATGTACAGTATAATGTGAAACAAATAATTAATCACAGATATTTTCAAAGCTGCTCTGCTATTTACTGGTGCATATCCATTGAAATGAGAATTGTTACATTTACTCTGATAGATCTTGGATCTGGCAGTTGCAGATTAACTGACGCTCCTTAACCATCTTGGCAAATGCCCCCTTTTTTCTCCTGAATACAATTGCAAGCCTATATAGCCTGTGAAGACTGTTGTAATTTAAAACTATATAGCCTGTGGAGACTGTTGTAATTTAAAAGTTGTCAATTTAAAAAAGATCTAACTATTCATTTGAGGGAAGGGAGAAAATATTTCAAGGCATGATTTATACAAACCGCCAAAGGATATGTGGTTAATGTTCTATGAAATGATATATTGGTGGGCACAGAAAAATACAAGCATTTGTAAATAAAACTCAACTAATTTTACTGCAGATGGAGTTGATAAAAATCACTTTTTCATTGCCTCCACCCATCAAATAAATAGTAAGAATGTACTTCAGCAAGATGTTACAGTAGGGAATGATCCTCTCCAGGGTTCCAGACAAGCCATATTCCAGGAAACACCATTCCATTCTCCCACGACTTGTCTTTCTGTTTCTTCCTCCTCTAGTTACTGGCAGAGTAACACGCATGAGTCAAGTGAGCTGATTCTGGGGCTCTGTGTTGCAGAGTTCTAGACCCACTTCTAAAATTTCAAACATACAACACTTCTTACCATATTTTATTTTCTATTGCTTGGTTTTTTATGAACTTTGCCATTAATTTTGCCATTAACTTCATTGTGCTGTTCACAATGAGTCTTGCAGAACATTTTTCACCCCTGCACAGTTAGTAGCAGTGACTATGAACAGTTCAGAGTGTACCTTTAGTACCTGCAAAGGAAAATGTAAATAAATATTTTTTTTCAATAGTAACACACACAATGACAACGACTTCCAGTACTTGTTAGACTGAAAACAGGAATTTACCCTGCAGCTACAAATAGCATAACTACTGACATCTTTCCACACCATTTCTGCCAGAGACAGAAAGATACCTCCAAAAGTGACTCAGAATACATTAAATCCTCAGCTAGCCATTATACTTAGCTTAACTTTGGTTGTCTTACAGTCCCCTGCATTATAAAAAATGATGAGGTAAATGCAGACTGTATGTATACAATATATACATTAAAGTTTAGATTATACATATACTATTGGCACTTGGTGTAAATATAATGATCATATAAAATTTGAATGGTCAACTGTTTCTTCCATAATCCCCATCAGGCTGACTAGGGTGAATGGAAGGTTTAGGCCAACAATATCTGGATGGCTGCAGCTGTCAACCCCTGATGTGCAGCCTGGGTTTATGGCTGCAATATGTTCAAACTTACCCAGAAATAAGTCCCAGTGAATACAATAGACTTCTCAGTAAATCTGTCCTGTCAGATATTTTGATTAGGGAAGGAAAAAAAAAACTTTCAAAGCTAAAAAATTATGTGCTGTCAAGTCAATTCTGATTTATGGCATCCCTTTTTGGGGTTTCCTAGATAAAAATACTCAAAAGAGGTTTACCAACATCATTTTCTGGAAATGTTGTAGAACTTGCACAATTTGCCCAAGGCTACACATGTTGTCTTTTCTTTTGGGAGGCATAGTGAGGAATTGAACTCTTGGTTCCACAGTCAAGTATTCCAATTTACTGAGCTAGAAAGCCAGCTAAAAGATCTTAACTGTAACCAGTTGTGACTGAATAATTGGTGTTTTTTAAATCAGTGCACCAAAGCTAGTTGTAATCTCCTCCCATTATTTTTCAAATTTACATGTCAGAACTTGCCAGCAGAATCTGGACAAAGGGGAAAATACTTATTAGCCACCTTTGATTTATTGCTACTGCTTATCTAACAGAAAAGGAGGATAAGTTGCCACAAACCCTGTCGGTTTGTCTGGACCTCTCAGCGCTTTTCCATACTATTGACAGTCAAATCATTCTAAATTGTTCGTTTGGGTTAGACATAGGAGATTTATACTGTATACTGCTTGTTATATAGACTTCTCCATTATATAGTCACAGGTTTGTTGGATGACTCAAGGTTCTGTATTGTACCCTATGCTTTTCAACATTCACAGGAAACATGTTGAGGGAAGTCATTTGGAGGTCTGAGCTGAAATACTGTCAATTTATAGATGGCATGTAGCTCCACCATTCCTTCTGTCTAATGGTCCTGGGGAACTCTTTTAAAAGTGTCTGAAGGCATTTTTAGGCTGACTGAAGGGAAACATGACACCAGACATGACAAACATACAGTGGGTAAGAAAACTGATCAGTATTCTGTTCTAAATAGAAGAGTTTATCTGTTCACAGATAGATACTTCCCCAAGGGACTGGATGCACAGTCTGGGAGCGTTCATGGACATGGCACTAAATAAGGGAGTTTAGCTGGTGACCAAGAGTAATTTTTACTAGCATATTGGTAAAAATATTTGGGGAAGGTAGGTCTTGCCTGATCTTCAGATGCTGAAGACAACAATACGACTTTCCAGATGTTAGTGGACATCAGGCAGTTGACACCAGTACTATGCCAGCTGTACTGGTTGCTCGTGTGTTTCAGGAGTGAATTTTAAGGACAGTTTTTAACCTTTAAAGTCTTAAACAGTTCGAACTCAAATGTTTCAAAATGTGGGCTTCACTTGTACAACTCTGCTTACATCCTAAGGAAATTTGCAGGTCCCCTTCTCTCACTTGCATTGCCGCAGGGAGTTAGTTTAGTGAGTATAAGTGAGAGGGCCTTTTTGGTAGTGGTTCCACACCTCTGTCATCATCTATCAAGAAAAATAATGTTCTTAGAGTTGCAGAGCTGGAAGGGACCCTGTGGGTCATCAAGTCCAGCCTGTGTCAAGGAGACACTGTGAGGAATTGAATTCTGACTTGCCAGTCAGATATCTAACCACTGAGCTATCCAGCAGTTCTTAATTCCAGATCTTTCTTTGAAAACTGTTGGGGAAACTCTGAAGACCCACCCACTTTCTTATCTCTTTGGTTGTGTTACTCTGTTTATTGTTTGTACTGGAACTGGCCATGCCTTGTACTATTATTATTTTCTGTTGTTTCATTAGTCTTCCATCCAAAGATAATATAAAAAGTTTTTAGATAGTAATAAACAACACTGGGGCTGGGATGTAAATAAAATGGCATGCAAATGAATCTAGGTGAATTAACTGACCTTTACATTTTCTAAAAGTCTGTGATTCTGCAGTTTGAAAACACTGTCACGGTCTGCTGCCATACATTGTTGTTGTTGTTTCACTTATATACTACCCCATAGTGCTAGAGCACTCTCTGGGCTGTTTTCAACATAATTATGCAAGGGATGCTTAGCCCCCCCCCCCAGCAAGCTGGGTACTCATTTTATCAGCCTTGAATATGTTTGGAGTTCTCAGGTTGTGAGCAGAAGCTTCATTGCAGTAATAAAGGTAAAGGTTCCCCTTGACAATTTTTGTCCAGTCGTGTACGACTCTAGGGAGTGGTGCTCATCCCCGTTTCCAAGCCATAGAGCCAGTGTTTGTCCGAAGACAATCTACCGTGGTCACATGGCCAGTGCGCCTTAGACAGGGAACGCTGTTACCTTCCCACCGAGGGAGTCCCTATTTATCTACTCACATTTGCATGCTTTCGAACTGCTAGGTTGGCGGGAGCTGGGACAAGCGACGGGCGCTCACTCCATCGCGTGGATTTGATCTTACGACTGCTTGGTCTTCTGACCCTGCAGCACAGGCTTCTGCGGTTTAGCCCACAGCGCCACCACGTCCCAGGTTGTGAGCAGAAGCTTCATTGCAGTACTGCTGTCTAACTATTGCACCACAAGGCTCACAGGGAATGATAGGGCATCTTTGTTCTTCAAGTGGAAGAACTATTATTTTGAACAGCCCCTTTAAGTTCAATAATACATTATCGATGGAAATGTTAAAGTATGGAATTACACTATTTAATAC